TTGATATACGCTTGAAAAGTTGCCGGTGCATTGGCGAGCCCAAAAGATATAACTAAATATTCGAAGTGGTTATAGCGATTACGAAACGCTATTTTCTACTCATCGCTTTCTTTAATTCAGATTCGATGATAGGTATTCTTAAGGTTTAGCTTTATAAAGACTTTAGCGTTGTATAAGCGGTTTAGAGTCTTAGTAATTAGGGGTAGCGGGTGTCGATTTTTAATAGTTATCGCGTTTAGGTCTCGATAATCAATGTAAAGACGAAGCCTCTTATCCTTTTTAGGAATAAAAAGGATCGATGCTTCGACTGAGGAAGTCGAGTAATGAATTTAGTTTTTCTAAAGGGAATTCTTTAGATAGCGCCGTAGCTCCGTTAACTCCGTTTGAGATAGATTATATAAGAGGCTATATAGCGGCTCCTTACCGCTCTCGATCTTAATGATATAGTCTCCCTGCTTAAGCGCAGGCAAGATCTCTGCTTTTTCGTTAAAAAAAACGTCGTCAAACTCTAGTAACTTCTGAGGGAGCTTCAGGCTACGCCCGTTTTCCGGTTCGCTTCGCGCCACCGCGGCGTACACGATTGCGAACACATTTAGCTTCTGTTCGATGGTTCGGGTAAATTTGGCTGGTTCTTTAACCTGCAATTTGCTAGCGTTGACTTTAAACCGCCACTGCTCCGCCGCTGGGTCTAGCAGTACTTATAATTGACTTAGCCCGGGCATACCCAACACGATATCAGGGCCTTTTTGATCAATAGTATAGAAGAGTGTGCTACACTTCCTACTCTGACCTCAGCTGTCCACTAACTAGTAATCTAGCTAATACACGCTATAGTAATATATACTTTAGTCGCTTAGCGCTTTCGATTGCGATAAGATGACGTCGTAAGGTTTTAAGTCCTATTGAACTACGAATTTTTGCGAAATTAAATTAATATGCGTTCTAGTATTGAGTAGAGTAACGAGTTATCTCTGTTCACCCTGAAGCTTTATCTACCCCTTTATAAGAATAGAAGGGATTGTCTTTATTGATCGTCGTTCTTGCCTCGCTTTTGAGGCGGTTGTGAGGCCGGATCTTTTTTTGTTAATACTGCGTCGATATGGGTTGTAGGCGGTTTATCGAGGTTTGGATACTTAGGTGTTTAATGACCCTGTTTTTTATAATGGAAATAACTATTCTTTTTGTAGTTAGGGTTAAAGGATTCGGCTTTGCGCTTTACGCTATCGTCTTGGGTGCGCGCTACGTGAACGCCGCCGTTTGAAGTCGATTTAGGCTTCGAAATTCGATTCTTTAGAGGCTTATCCTTAGCGGACCCCCTCGAAGACTTCGAATGGGAACCGCCGCCGGAGCGTACGCGTTTTAAAATCTTTTTCTATATAATAGCCTGGGTAAGAATTTCTTTTCGTTGTTTTAGTATACTATTAGTACTTAGAATCTTGTTTTTAAGCTCTAGTTTAAGCTTAGCTAAGAAGAAATTAGCTTGATGCTTCTTAGAAAATAGGGTTATATAGGCCTCTAGCTCCTTCAGGTAGGTTTTAAAAATAGATATCTTCTAATCGGAGCGTTGTTTGACCTTCTCTTACTTTTCGTATATGAGAAGACGGCGGTTTATTGGATCCGCTACTAAATTAAGTAGGAACTGCTTAAAGAATTTGAAAGTCGTATTCTTTAGGCTATAGGCTTGGTAGTATTTATATTATTAAGTATTAGGGTCGCCTTCTAAGGACTGCATGTAATAAATAATCCTTGCTTGGTTGGTGGTGAAATACTTAGGACTTATAAGGAACTTGATTTCGACTTCGCGGAACCAGCGTAGGTGCTCTCCCTCACTAATATCCTTATAAGAACGTATCCTTTCGGGGCGAAGTATTTTCGTCTTAATTAATATATTCGCTAGAGGCGCGATAGTAATCGGCGTAGGTGGGTCTTCGCTAGCCGTAGACGGTGAGCTAGCGTTACGAAGCTCGCAATTGCGGGCCTCCAACGCAGCCAATTCTTATTCTTGTTCCAGGCGATGATTTTCGGCTCTAGCGATTGCAAGACGTTCTTCTACAGTAAGATCTTTTATTGATAAGAAATTCTCGAACTTATTATCGGCGCTATAGCGGCTCTCGGTGTTATTTTCGTTTTTTATTATACGGCCTAGAGGTAAACCCGATATTATAATGATAATGGGCCTTTTCCTTTAAAAGGTAGAGAGATTAGAACTGTGAGGGCGTAGTTTACTAGCGGTCAACTAGCGGGTATAGGCTATAAAAGACGTAGTATCGTTATAGGGTTTAATAGTATATTTAATAGTAGAACTAATCTCTAAGGAATACTAAAACTTTGGGGCATGCGAAGTAGACCTATGTCCGCCAAGCCCCTAGGTAAACGGGGCACGTTATTGAAACTGGACCCTGAAAGGGACCCTGACGTAGCACATGCGATGTCGGCGCCTTGGCGCAAGCAGCGCCAAGGCCTATAACGCATCAGGTCTGACACTTATACTTAATAGAAGAAAGACTTTATCTATTTATAGGCTTAAGAGTACTCTAAATAACTCGCTTTCGAAATACTTAAGAAAGCTTTTACTACTATCTCTATACTTATATACTTTAACTTAGATAAAAAAACTTAGTTAGAAATAAATATATCTAATTTTATAATTACTACTATTCTATTATAAGAAGATAAAGATAAAATACTTAGATCTATAGTATTTCTCTTTAAGAAGATATCTTCTATAGAGTATAACTACGATATTTATAATAAGGAATTTATAGCTATAATATAGGTTTTTAAGAAATAATATTCTAAGCTAGCTAATATTTCTATCGAAGATTCTATTAAAGTTATTTTAGACTATAAGAACTTATAGTACTTTATATTATTTAAATAACTTAATTTCCGCTAAGTAAGATAGATGAAGTTTCTATTCAAATTTAACTTTCGTATTATCTATCGCTTAGAAAAATAAAGTATTAAATTTAATAGTCTTACTCGACGAGTAGAAGATTTATTTAAAAACGAGAATAACAATTATATTCGCTATCGATATCGTATAATTCTTAAAGATAATAATCTTAACGAAGATATTAAGAATATTATATATCTAGTTATTATACTTCTAAACGATATAAGAGAAAGTATTACCTCTCTAACTATAATATTATATAAATTTAACGAATAAAATAGTATTAATAATAAGAAGTCTAATAAAGAATTATTATTGGGGGCCCCGATAGAGACTTCTTAAGAGAAGTCTTTAGAAGAATTAAGAGAAGTCTCTATTATTAATATTTCTAAGTTATTATATTAAATAAGAGACACTTATAATTATAACGATATCGCTTAAAAAATTATTTAATTAAAGATATCTAAATAAAGAAAGCTATTATTTAAAATAATTAAGAATAACCTTAAGCTAGAACTAAATAACTATTATCTTTACGACGAGTTATTATACATTAATAATAGATTATATATATTAAATATTTTCGAATTACGAATTAAAATTATTAAAGGTATTTATAACTCTTTACTCGAAGGCTATACTAATAGATTATTAATCTACGATAGAGTAAGTAGACTTTACTATTAAACTAAAAATAACGAATTTTATTATCTACTATATTAAGAGTTATTATATCTATAAAAGATCTAAGACTTATAAAAAGAATAAGTAAGATCTACTTAAACTTCTTTTTATTCTTAAACGATATTAATAAGATATTTCTATTAACTTTATTATATTATTATCTATTTATCTTAGATATAAATACTTCTATTAATATATTATAATAGTTATAAATAGACTTAATAAGAAGAAGAAATTCGTTTTTTTAGACTCTTTGGAAGTGGAGATAGTAGTTTAGGCCTTTATCGAATTTATATAGCGAGAGAAAGAATACTTATTTACTATTATCTCCGACCGAGGCACTTAATTTATAGCACATTTTTAAAGAAGACTATATAAAAGGATTAGAATTAAACTTAAGCTCTCTACTACGTTTTATTTCGAAATTAATAGATAAATAAAGAACGCTAACGCTACTCTAAAGTAATATCTTAAAACTTATATTAATTATAATTAAGATAATTAAGTAAATCTATTATTAATAGTAGAGTTCGAAGCTAACTTCGATAAGAACGCCTTATTAAACATATTATTATTTCTTCTTATTAAAGAATATATTCCTTACTCGAAAATAGAATTCTTAATTTTTTAAGATTAGTTCGCTAGTTAAAGAGCGAAGAGAGATATTAAATTAGTTAATAGATTTATCGAGAAGATAAATATTATAAAAAATTATTTAAGAAGTTAGCTCGAATAGTTATAAGCTTTATAGAAGAAGTAAGCTAACCATCACCGGCTCTCGACGCTAGAATTTAGAGTTAGAGATATAATTATATTTAATAGAAGAAATATTAAAACTATACGCCCTAGTAAATTACTAAATTATAAGAATTTCGAATCGTTTAAAATTACTAAAGCTTTAAACAATTTCGCTTATGAGTTAGAACTCTCGACTTCTATAAATAATATTCATTCTATCTTTTATTTATAACTACTATATCTCGATAATAGTAATCTACTATTAAGATAGATCGAGTCTTCGCCGCCGTCTATCGATATTAATAAGAAAGATAAAATCTACGATATTAAAGAAATAGTTTAATTTAAGCTAGATAAATAAAAGAATAATCCTTTAACTAGTAAGAGAGAATATCTTATATATAAAATCAGGTATAGAGGTCTCGAGATCGAGGAAAACTTATTCTAATAATTATTTACGGATATAGTAAAATGTTCGAATCTGATAGCAGACTTCCACACTGATCGGATCGTGCACGTTGCGAGCAGAGAACGACCTCCTCATCAAAACGCCATTACTGATATGTTATGTATATCTCGATCATATCATCATTACAGAGCATCGTAGCAATCAGTATCGGTACATCATCTCCATCGTATACATCAACCCATCCATCCATCCGTCAACTTCTTCAACCCCCCTTCACGCATTCCCGTCGCTCCACCTCTCCCACTCCTCCTCCCTCATAAACTCCACACTGCCCCAACCCCCTCGTTCCCCGATCATCACACACTGCTCCCTCACGCCGTCCCCCCTCTCCACGTGCGCCAACCCCCCCTGCCGCCAACCATCCAGGTACTCGCACCCGTCGTCGACGTAAAACACGACGTGGGTCATTTCGTCCGGCCAGACCAGACTCACGCTCCTGGCTTTGTAACTGATGGTCGTCGGCGAAGACGATGACAGCGAGCGCCGATGACGCGACGACGGTGATGTCCTGCTGCGTAGTTCCAACCTCTGCCATTCCGAGAGGGCGCTTTGTTCGGAAAGGTCTTGCCATTGGGGTGGCGCGTGGGCGGGGTCCGGTGATGTGGATATCGTCTCGGTGATGGGGAAGCATTTGGTGTTTCGTGGCGTTGAGGGGCAGGAGAGTAGGTAGGGTGTTTTAGGGGGGAGTTCGATCAGGTTCAGGACGTCGGCGGCGCAGGAGCTGCCTGGGTAGGCTGTTACGGAGAATTCGGATGACTGGTCGTGCAGGCAGGTTATTGATGATGATGATGATGATGATGATGGGCCCGAGATTGCTGATTGCTGTTGTGATTGGGACTTTGGCTGTGTGATTCGTGACGAGTGGGCAAGACTGCAGAAGAGGAGGATGAGGAATAGGTCGTTCATCTTGTATGTAAGAGAGAAGAAGTTTTGGTGGATATGAACAGATGAAGGACAACGTGTCTGTGGTACAGAGATATGTAAAGAAGAAGAGAGCACACCAAGGGTTGATGATGTACTATGGCACTGTACAGCTATACAAACACAACTCGCAAAGCAAGCGAAGGATTCAGGAAGAGAAAGCTCAAACTTATACTACTGTTGCAAGGAAAGAAACAATTGGCTATGCGGCAAAGAAAAGAGATAGAGCGCGACGACCGCAGCACGCGGAGAAGGGTGCAGCGGTCATGAAGAAGCAAGCGTAAGAAAGCCACAGGCATCTAGACGCCAATCTAATACTTTATATCGGTATTCTGACTTTCACCAAGCGAGGAGAATTATAGAATAAGCATTGAAAGACTTTTCCGTATATGGGTGAATATGGTGTGAATATGGTGTACCCACGTTTCGAATGCATGAACCATCAGTGGATTCAAACAGCTCCCCTGGTAGCACTGCCGTATTGCTTGGCATCCGAGTCCAATCAAAATCATCCCTGAGGCCAAGGGCGCAATTAGCCCGCGGAAGATGGGGCGACTTTGCCTGAAAGGACTTAGGGTTTACCGTGCAACCATTGATAGGATTCCCTCCAGGGCTGAGTAACATGCAACCATCATCCCCGCCCCGCGTGGTGTGCATTGTCCCATCTTTATAGTAGTAAGGAAAGCAAGCGAGGTATGACAATACCTGCTGTGTTCGTTGTGCTGACTGCTAGTAGCGTGCTGCATTATGATCTTTCCGTGTTGTGCTTAATCTTATTGTTCTTCTTCTTGCTCCCCGTCCTTCAGGCTCACAACATTACAAACATTAGCTCAGCCAGTAACAGGCAAGCCTCTCTTCTCCAGCTCCTCTTTGATCACCTTCCACCTCCCCACCTCGATTTCTCGGTCGATCAAACCATATCTTCTATTAAGGATTTGCACGTTCGGAAGTTCTGCAACTTGATTCGACTTCCGAAGGGCTTCCGCAGTCCTTTTTGGTTTGGGCTTTTTCACTAGGTGGACGAGTAATGATTTTGGTGTGCTGATGGCTGAGATGTCGGGGTCTGGAATGCGCCTTCCCGTCAATTGCATCACCCTCTTGAGGACCTGAAAAAAAAATGGATCAGCAAGGTTGTCAGGCATGCAGTGTAGATCACGGGCCGCTCACTGCAAATTTCATTGCTGCATCGTCCATTGAGACATCGCGCCAAGTATCGCTCGCTGGCATGAAGGGTGCAAGATCTGCTGATCTTGCAGGATCGAAGGACTCTTCGTCCGGAAGTGGTAGTTCAGAGCCTTCCAATTCCAAATTGATTTCGTCATCTCCCTTGACAATCTGCGACGGCCTTTCTTCGGCGTCATTGGACTCCATCTCCTCCTCTGCAAGTTCATCTGTAATTTCGTCTGTAACTTCCTCTTCTTCGATGTCTGCGTCTTGCATCGCGATATTGTCGCTCGAGCGATCTTTTGGTGTGACGCATTCCAATATGGACTGTCGCAGCTCCTCACTCTCAAGCACCAAAGCCAGCTGTCCGCTTGCGTCCTGCTCGAATTTTGCGCCCCCCGCAACACGTGTGGCATAATCTTCCGTAGGGTCTGCTGAAGAGTAATCCATTACCAATGGTAGTCCAGCTTCTTTCAAGGCGTAGGTCTCCACCAAGGCGCGATGAACTGCGAGGATTGTATCATTTCGACCCTCTGTTCTCTTGGGACGAATGAAACTAGATCACGAGAATTAGTAAACGTTGCAATGCTTGCAGTAGAGTTGACTAAACCCTTTAAATGGGTTCGCCACCTCCCATTGCCTTGTCCCCCAACCAGGCCCACCCACCATCTCTAGGCCTTCAGCTGTATCCGCTTCGAAATATTCATCTTCATCTTCGGGCTGTTCCACCTCCTGCTCAGGTGCCGGTTCAAGCTCCCTGCCCTTTTCCCTCGCTTGCTCCTTCTCCCTTCTTCTCTGATCAAACACACTCTCTTTCCCGTACGGATCGTCCTGACCTGGCGGTGTCTCTGAGCCCCATATCTTTTTTCGTAACTTTTCAGTGTTGAGCCAGCTGGCGTGTCTGCTGGAAGCGTAGGGTAGGGTGATTGATGAGTTAGTCATTCTTACAGCGGTTGATGCTCGGAGCCGACAGTGTAGGCAGACGTAACCTGATTGAGGTAATGCAAGACGGGCTGCAAGGCTAATGCGGCCGGCAGAAGTCATACTGATGGTGTTAATGTTGACTCAATCGGTAACGGTTGAAGACTGTTGAGAGGTTGCAAGCAAAGCCAAGGAGTTCTACATGGCGCTAGGCTGAATACGTTTAGCGCAAATTTGTTTCAAATCGAGATCACAGTGCTGCAATTGCGCACATATATGGGACATCTGTCTCAGTGATACCTATGCTATTCTTGCTCGGGCAATCCTTGCCTACTGCTGATGGAGTATCACGCTTGCTCAGCCATCAAGTCATCAAAAGAATCATCCGTGCTCTCCGCCGCTCAAATAGTCTTCTCTCCCAATGGCTGCACACCTGAAGTGTCCGCTACAACATCAGCCGGTCCGGTAGCAGTCTTCTCCCCATGGATCCCCGCCTTCGAACACCCACTACACGCGCACTTGCCCTCGGCACAAGGGCATGTGCCAGTATCGCCTCCACACTGACAAGTCGTCTTCTCAGTCCCAGGAACATGCTCCATTGTCTTCTCGTTCTGCTCCATACTACCACCGCCCTTTCCACTCTTCAAATCCGCCAAGCGCCGTGCCTCGGCGTGGATGTCTCGAACCTGCTTGTCACTCTGCGTGTAGAAGCTTGCCAGTTTCTGACCAGTAGGCGTGCCCATCGCTTTCTCGAAGTATGAGTTGATGCCCCTCCATCCCGCAGTCGCTTTATCAGTGATGCCGTAGCTCTGGTCAAGACCCTTGGCGCGATCAGTCGCCTTGTATTTTGCGTCGAATTGTGTAAGAGCGTTGGTGAAGCGATTGGAGACACCGTGCTTGTTGTCGAGGGCAATGGCACGTTGGATCGCGGTATCGCTGATCACGTAGCCGTGGGCGAGGTATTCGGCAACGATGCGCGAGCGCGGCTTGTCCTCTTGCGAAATGTCGTGCTCGTCGCGGGAGGCATCGTCGGTGTTAGTGCCGGCTAGTTCACTGATGCCGGCGGCGCTTGAGACTTGGACTTGGGAGCTGCCGAGTTGGGTATTGTCGAGGAGAAGCGCTGTCTTTGCGGCTCTAGAAAAAAATCAGCTAGGGGAAGTAGCTGGCTTGACTCTACATGTATCTTTACGTCTCTTTCTCGAAGGTGACTGTTGCACTCTGCGGGCTGTTTTCGGCTTCGGACGCAGGGGTCACAGAGAGGGATGTGATCTTTCCGCTGCTAGCTGTCAGCATGTGGCAAGCTTGTGATAGAGACGTTTAGCTCACCAAAAGCTGAAGAAGTCTCTCACTTCTTTCTCGCTCGTGTTGTGGGCAATGTTCTTGACCTAGATCCAGCAAGTTAGCGCCTAGAGCTCCCAGAGCAATCGGAAAGTGCGTACATGGACGACAGTGGACGACATGATATGTTTGTGATTTGCTTGTTAAGTAGGTTTGAAGATAGGAGTGTATAATTTGAAAGAGTTGAGAGGAGTTTGGGGCAGAAGAAGTGGGTTTTGGGGAGAATGGAATGTTGCAGAAGTGGACGTTGCCCCACGTCATTTTCTGGGCTGGGGCAGTGGCAAAGGGTCCAAGGGTGGTTCTGACAGGACAACGATACTCCACAGAGGACAGGCATATCACATCTTTTGGAGCTCTTGATCAAATCAACAAGATGCTAGACCTTCGAACAATCATCCTTTACGGCGGCCGGTCAATCACTAGCATTAATCCCCTCCCTCTTCTGCATCCCCAATACCCCCGTCCCAAAAAACCGTTCCGATCCCGTCTTCCCAACATCAAAATCCATATCAACATATTCATACCTTTCCACGAAATCTGCAATGCCCTGCAACGCCATCTCCCACACCTTCCACGTCATTCTACCGCTGTGATGCAACAGTATAAACGCGTTACCCGACCCGTATCGGATCATCCTGTCGGGTATAGGTTCGTTCGAGCTCCCATGCGCTGCGACTTCGCGAGTGGCTTTGACGAAAACATAGAGCACGTCTCTCCGGCGTAGGGGGTGCCGTAGCCGTAGAAGCAGACGGTTTCGTCAGAGTTGGGGACGGGGTAGAGCAAGGGATCTTGGGGGAGGCGGCTACTGATGTCATCATCTTTGCCCGGCGTTTCCTGGCTTGTTGTCTTGACGAACAAAGGACGACCTACTTTGAAGAAAAGAGCTGTGTTAGACTGGATGGAGCCGTGAGGTTGACGTTGACGTTGAGACCGTTGAGTAATGATAGAGTGAGTGGACTGAGAGGTGGTTCTGCAAGAGTAACTGTACAGAAATGGACGACGATCCAAGCTGCACATAGGAATCCCATCTCAAGAGACAATGATTGGGAACAAGGGAGAAGTGTGAACGACGAACGTGTAGTTTGGCGCCTCCTTTGTCGCGCCCAATTTTGCATAGATGAGAGCATGTCGCCTACGAGTATGTGTTGCCGCGCGCATTGAGAAACTACTTCCCGCTGTCGTTGATGTTGTGACATTTACCCAATAATACAATGCCTTCTAGCTGCATCCTTTGCGCCCTCTTATATGTCACTTTTTACAGGTACAGCCCAGGTTTCTTGCATCCATGCCATATTGTTGCTCTTTTATCTCATGTTGAGGTCTGGGATCGTTCCTGTACCACAGCTGCATCATTAAGTTCTGCGTATTCGACTTGCTGGCCTGCCTTGTCGAAGTCGGAATTGCCCCGAGAAGCGGCTGTAAGCTTGAAGGCAGGTAGTCCCTCGCCAAGTATGGGGGGTTGAAATGGTCCCGTTGATTGCGAGCCAGACCCATCGTGTATCTCTGTTGAGGTTCCTTCCTCTTGGTCGACCCTATCAGTCATACTGCTGGAGCTTTCTCCTCTCGGCCGACCATAGGCCTGGCCAGGATTTTCCTCATGCATGACATCCTTTGATTTTTCTTCTCCAACCATTGCAGCGAGGCTACGAAAGTTGAACATGGGCTCCATGCCTGCTCCACCACCAGGAGGCGTGCCTGAGATGTAAGTGTCTTGGGCCGAAGCCGCTGAAGGTATATTGACACCACTTGCGCTGGGTGAAACATCAAATGAGGATCCTTGTCCCTTGATGTCACTCTTCAAGGACCCAGGAGCAGAACCATCAATAGATGAGGTTGAGGACGAGGCATTTGAGAGAGTTCGTAGATGCGATGGTCGGTATGGTGATGAAGAGTAAGGAGAGGAGAAAGGTGGAGCATCGCTGGGAAGTATCTGCGCCCGAGCGCGCTCAAGATGTTCCTGAGGATCTGCCGCCGTGGACGAAGACATAGCATTCATAGCTCGTGCATTGGGTTGCTCAGACTCTGTCTGCTGGACGCCCTTTCCTTTTCCAGAGTACGGGGACTCCGTCCCGCCAACGAAAACCTCGCTGGAACTGCCTCCAAGCCCTGCAGCGCTCGCATTGGCGCTGCTCGGATACACACCCGTCTTTCTGGCCTTCTTTTCGGCCTTCTTGTCTTCCTTATCCTTCTTTTTGGCCTTCTTTTGGGCATCTTTGTCTTCCCTTTTCCGTCTATCCTCCTCTGATGCAAGACTCAGCCGTATAGCTTCCATCATCATCATTTCTTCCAAATCTTCCATTCTGTTTCTTCTGGAGCTTCCACGAGGCCCGGGCGTCATTGACGGTTCGCCTTCATCGTCTCTGGCAGCGCCTGATGCTGCATAGCGCTCAGACATCAGTGCCAACATATTCAAGTGCGCAGAGCTGGTCCCAGGATTGTCCGCGCCACTGGTCCGTCGCAGGATGCCACGCCTGCCAAAAGGACCCGGAGCTCGACCATCATTTTCTTGACCACGATTGCCCATCAAATAAGCAGCAGTATGTAGAGCTGTGGCAGCTGCAGATCGCCGAGCCGTATGAGCTCTGGCCGCAGCCAGCTTCTGATGCCAGTCTGGGCGTACCCTATCGGTTGTGATGACGGAGGGAGAGGTAGCGGAGACTGATGTCGTTCTCCGACGTGTAGCGTTCGTTGGCGACATACGTCCTCCGTTACTCAAGACTGAACCCAGTGAAGATTCGGAGGACATGGCGGAAGATCTGTTGGCCAAAGGATGGTTTGACGCTTGATTGACGTACGACAGTCCTCTACGGAAAGGCGGCGAAAGGTAGGTGACGCCAAATTCAGGCTGAACGCAGAATGGACAAGCAGCTGGTTCAGATATCAATTCCTCGGGATTGACCACTTCTGCATTGGCATTTTCAGCTAGCGTGGGTTGCGGAGCCGTCGGATCTGCGTGTTCTGGAGGATGGGGATCTGGGCGTTTGATCTGTACGAAGCATTCGGAGCAAATGGCCTGATCGCAGCATCGAGTCTTGTTCAGGTACGGAGGATAATATAGAAAGCAGATTGGGCATTCAGAAGCGTCTTTATACATGTACGCTTCGAGAGGCTGACCAGCAACGTAGGGATCTCTTGGCAGGTTTATTTCACGAGGCGTCATATCGGCTTGAGAGTTCTTCGGGGCGGTCGTGAGAGCCGCCAATGTTTTCGCACGGCCTCTGAACAATGTAGATCCGGAAGATGGCGAAGGTTGAGGCGCGTTCAAAACTCCCGGCGAAAATGAGGGTTGGGATGGTGAAAGGTTCGAGGACGTGTCTGAGTTGAGTGACTGAGATCTCGAAGTTATTGGCACAGTCAAATTATTAATGTTCGTGTCCGACGACTTTGTTTCCGATTCAGCCTTGGACATCGGCTTAGGCTCTTCTTCAACTGGTATTTCATCCGGGGCAGGGATGGGTCGTCCTCTGGCAGCAGCAACGAGCTGATTCTCTGTCCATGAGTCAGAGTGATCATTCAAACCCCTCCAAAATGGTGCTATTCGTCGTTCAATCTGATCTCCATTAGCACTCATGCCCCTTGGAATCCACTGAGTACCCTACCATCAGTTGCCGTACGACACCCTTAGTGTAGTCCTCTATTCCTGTGTAGACACCCTGGGTGACAAGATAGCCTCCATCAACACTCTCTTCACGCATGCTCCGTTCACGCTCCTTCTCCCTCGCCACCCTCTCTTTCTCCAACTTTCTTGCCTCCCTCTCTTGCTTGGTCTCTCTGCGAGTCTCCAGACTGGAAGTGTCAGAGACTGCATTGCCTCTCATTCCAAGCAATGTTGACAGGTCAGGTCGACTGCCCCTACCCGTCCGCACATTGTAAACCGGATGTGAAGGGCGGTCTAAAGAGGGCGGATAAGATGGTGAGCTTGGGCCAGAGCCGGCGGGAGAGGAGACTGATCGGGCATCAGCTGACCGTTGGCGTGCAAGATGAGGCCTTTGCTCTTTGGTAGCCGAATTGCCCATGTTTAATCGTCTGCTGCCCCAGCTGGTTGAGAGTCGTTGTGAGAGGCCGGAGAAGCCTCTGATTGTGGACAGCTGTTCCGGATATCAAGTTGATATGGCCGCCTTCCAAGTACAGCCACAATGATCATTGATGTCGAAATGATTCAAAGTGCTCTATGCACTGCATTGTCGTTGAGGGCAATAGCAATGAGGAGTCAGCATGCTTTGACCAGGGTCTGCAACGGCAGGGTGTATTCGGTATGACGAAAGATAAGAAGGTGCTTGTTCGGCGTGTTCTATAGCGCGTGATGTCTTGATGGAATGAGGGGCTGATTGAGGATATGTTTGCAGCGATACGATGCAATACTACGGTGTTTGGCGGAGATGGTATGGTGTTGTTGAAGAAGTCAAGCTTCACGGAAAGCATGGCATCATCCTGCCTCCTCCGCTGACCAAATCCACGCACTGCAACGCAACCAATTGCTGCACCATGTTCAAATGTCGATCGCAGAGTGAATACTTCGAAGACACATATCTCCACCAAGAAGACACAATTCTCTTATCGATAGATATCAATCACCCCACTTCAAATCACTCCATCGTACTGCAGCATTAGACTCAAGACGCGTGCTACTGCTTCCTAGTGAGTCTACGAGTGTACCCATGGCCCCTTAAGTTGGCGCTTCCAGAAACGGAACAAACATCCACATATATCTCAATACCTAGGGAATATGGCTCCCGATCTTAACTCTCTGCCTCCTTCACCCTACAGCCCTCGAAGTATAGCCTCTACATCCTCTCGACGAGCTAGAGAGACCATGGCACCTCCCCCCGCTCCCATTTCACCTCCTGCCCAGTCACCGACCATTCTGTCAAGGGAGCCTCTCGCAAACATGACTTCTGGAGACAACACTGGAGTAGGCATTGGACCCGGTATGAAAGCAGATATCCTACAACTCCGCTTACGACTGATCGACCAGCTAACTCGATGGTTACCAGGGCCTCTTCGTCATCCCAGACCTCTCACCGCTGCAGACCTTCATATGCAACTTGAGAAGGAACAAGAGGCAGTGGTAAGCTGGGGATGGTTTACTGGTTGGAATAACTTCGCTGATTGAGAGTCTGTCATTTCAGGTCAACCGCCTCACGCGCGAACTCTCTCTTCTACGCCAGCAGTCTGCTTCAGTGGCATCGACGACCTCCTCCGTTTCTACTGGCCTACCAGATGCTACAGATCAGAACGCAAACCATCTAATTTCAGGGCCCAGTCACCCTACTCCCTCACGGCGGCATCGATCGTCCTCCAATCTGAGCGCTCGAAGTTCAAACACAGCTGCGACTACAGCTACTGGCATTACTGGGACAAGTGGAAGCACCGTTGGCACGACAGCAGGGGTAGCCGGAAGCACAGTATCAGGCATCGCACCCGCGCGAGACGCCACAGCCCCATACTCATATGCTCGAGACCCTCTTAGCAGGCAAAGCTCGGTCGCGTCGCGGCGATCCGAAGCCTCCTCGCCCTCTTTGTCTTCCTCACTATACCAAGGTGATCACTTCCCCAACCTCCATCCACATCGACACTCTGGCTCAGCATCGTATAATCAAACTTCATCCTCGTCTCAGCAAACCATGAATCAAGGAAATACACGCGTACCGTCGACGCAACGGTACGAAGAAGCCGCTCATCATCGAACAGAGCTCGACATAGTGAAGCGTGAGAACGAAGCTTTGCGAAGGCGCATACAGGAATTAGAAAGGAGCCTTAGCGGTCGTCGACAATCAGGAACTGGCGTAACAAGGAGTGGATCTGTGAGCACGAATGCCAGCATCCCACCAACAGCTGGTGCAGGAGGACGCGGCAGAGGCATTGAGGAAGATGAGGATGCCGTCCATGTGGGCGAGAGCGCTGGTAGCGTAGGATTTGGAGGCGGTCATTGAACGCAATGCTTGCAACGGGCGTTATGGAGGGCAATACCTGGTGAAAGCTTGACAGAGGATCGGAACAGCGCTGGCGCACGGCGATTGGACAAGAGTCCGGATCGTACTGGTTGCATCTCATGACCTTGCCAGATTCCTTCTTTGCATCTTGCACTCTAGGTCCAAGTACCCATGCGCCTGTGGCTCCAGGTAACCCCGAGTGTACTATAAGCTAAAGAGAATCGATGCAAGAATCCATCCCTTCCAGTAAAACAGACCTCGTCAACCCTTTCCGTGACGCCATCGTCTTCGACGCTGTTATCCGTTCCTGCATCGTGGCACTCGTGTGAACCATCACCCCCTCGATCAAAGCCCCCACGTCTCCACCTCCACACCTCCACCTTCACTACCCCCGTGAGCATATGCGGCCATCGGATCACTCGTAGGTCGATGGAATCTCAAGATGGAACTTTGTTGTTGATCCCTTGAACCCAGCCGAGTCGGAATGTATCAATCAATCGCGTCTCGAGCCAAGGAAGCGTCGGATTCGGAAAGGCGACGGGGTTGGCGCTGTCTGGGATTTGGGGAAGGGGAGCGTCAGTGGACATGGTTAGGCTTCTCGCTTCCGTGATTCTCTCTCCTGTAGGGAATGAGTCGTTGGAGCGTGGTGTGCACGGCGAAAGCCAATGCCGGGTCGCAACTTCCATTTTTTTGGCGGAGAGGAGAAAACTTCTTTTTGTCGGAATGCGGCATAGAGCTAATGGAAAGATAGGTTTTGAGGGACGGAGTTGCATTGCGTTTTTTTTTTTTTTTCTTGGTTTGGGGGGGGAGGGAGGGTGGGCTTTGGCGAAGTACATCGAGCGTAGCAGACACTCTGCGGGGCAAGACAAAACTCACCGAACAAGAGCCTCGTCCTTTCATCCGTCAGAGTCAGCAGTTCCGGTATCTAACACAGCATTGGTCTGGATACGATGATGTGCTTCAGATTGGATTTTTCATGCAGCGTGTTGATGTGATGGCATTGAACGAAACAAGAAGAAAGGCGAAGATCGAGAGGATTCCTAGGATAGCCACTGTACGAGTACAGCAAGTCGCCTCCATTATCTCCGAGTTTACAGAACCGATAAAGGAAAAGTTTGTCAACCCTATTAATGATAGTGGAAATAACTTGAAATCACAGTGGGGGTAATACGAACTGCATCAGCTTATCAAGAATGCTGACTTCAGGTGACAAGAGAGCAGGCACCGATGTGTCTATTTTTGAGCCGCAAGCAACAGGATCACCATGGTTCTGGGTCCGGTGGTCGCTGACTCCCCTCCGCGCACCACCATGGTATGAGGCTCAAGGAGACCTCATGAGGGACTGGAGGCCGAACCCATTTACTCTCACCATGCGCAGGCGAGTGGCTGCGTTGCCAAAGATTGAGGCATGTCCGGGTGGGAAAGGAGAGCAGTCAAAAATAGATCAGGGACAAGACAAATTTAGATATAAAGAGAATGAGAAAGTGTGAGAGAAGAAACGATCAGCTCATTGGCCTCGTGGCGGCGTGAATCAGCATTCTGCAGGTGATGCTCGCCGTGTACCTGCGTCCCCTTGGATTGCAAACTCTCCGCATTTTCCATCGTGGGGGACCAACGCCGCGTACCTGCGTCTGTTCTGAGGGATGTAGCGATAGTTGTACCTGATTTACCAGACCCGCGAAATCTCATGTGTTTCATGAGGGTTTGAAAAGGTCGTCGACGACTGGATATGCGGATCTGCCTCGACTCGGATTGCAGGTTCTGTGACCCGATGTCGGACGAGGCTGTGATGATTGGATCCCGCGGAGTTCATGACAGTGGATAGGAGGAGAGTTGGCGAATCATGGTAATATATTTGGTGTTGTTGACGCGCGCACATTGATGATCTTGCCTTGGAAGTTATGGCGTCTTTCTCAGTTTCTCACTTTTTGTTTTCTTAGGCGAGAATGTGAAACACGTCGATCGGAGCATGGTCAGAAGGTGGCTCCAGCGTGAGAATTGTGCAGATCATTTCATTACTCGTATTATTTGTCCGGCCAAGGAAAAGGGCGGAAGAGGTCCGAAAAAGCAGGGACGAATCCGCAGGGATTTCAGTTGAAACAAGCAGACATTTTGTTTCACACTTATCTTGATTCAGTAACTACTTCCTTTGTAACAGACTACTTATAGTAGGTAGTAGGTATACTTTATCACTAAGTGAAAGACCAAAAAGTTGGCCCTTGGTGGCATGGACCATGGTGCCTTCTTTTTGGAATCCCGGCGCTTGTCGATCTTACCGGCTGTTTCGGCGGAGAGAAAAAAAGGGAAAAGTGCGGAGGAAGTTAAAAGTGAGTAGGAAGTTTAAAGTAAGTAAAGTAAATGGAGCCAAGGCTGAGATTTCTGTAGCCAAGCTTCTGCTTCTTCTGACCTTCTTAACTTCTTTCTACTTTACCGACTTCGCTCTCGTTACCCGTTGCGGGAGGAGATCACCGTCATCTTCCACGCTAATTCTGCATCATCCATGCCGCCTTCATCATTCCCATGCATTGTAAGCAACGCCTTACCCACCTTGGCCTATCGGAGTTCGATAAGCAGCGCCCTATGATCATGATGATGTTATCAGCCCCCACTAGCGGCACTTAGCCAAGCCTCAGTTGCCCCTCCATTCGCTCCAGGTACGAATGACGCTCGGAAGATCCTTTCCTCTCTCACCGCAGCAGAAATCTGATACAGGACGGCGCCCTTTTTTCCTTTTTCCCTCTTCCCTTTTTCCCTTTTTCCCTTTTTTCTTACAACGTGCTTCAGATATTCTCAAACGTAGTGTGGCCTGAAAAAAGGATCATCGGTAGACTCGGCTCATTCCTCGCCGGAGACAACGTGGCAATCCCTGCGCCATGTGCTCCAGAAGATGCATGAATTTGAAGATCTTATTATTATGAAGATCTCACGTGGGAACATGTACACCCGACACCACACTTACCCACTCATTCTACTCACTCACTCACTCACTCATCATCTCTTCCCACTCTCTTTTTCTCTTCTACCTACTTTCCCTCTTCTTCTCTGATGCACATCCCCACACTCACTGCGTTCTGTTTCATCTTTTCTTCAAAACATCGCTCAAGTCAAGCATGTTCCACAATTGTTTTATACCATGTCGGACACCCCGCTGAGCTGAAAAGGACGTCAATACCCTTCAGACTCCTCCCCATTTTCTTCATCGTACTTCTCCTTCCGCTTTTCTCATCTGACTTTCATTCATATATTCCATTGCTGCTGTCGCTTTGCGCATATTCTGTCTTTACTACAACTCCTATATTACAAGCAATCATGAACGGCTACGACCACATGGTCATGTCTTACCTTCCGCCTAACAATAATACCACTACCGACGATTACCTGACCACGCTACCCGCAATGGGCCTCGCAGAGCAGAGCTTTCAAACGCCCACCTATTCCACCGATGATTTCCGAGGGTATGAGTCCCATCCAGAACGTTGCACAGACCATCATTCTAATCAATCTCATCATTTCCAGCATCCATTCCATATCCCAAATGCCTCCTCTTCTCAGCTCTAGCGAAGCCGACCGCGCCTTCAATCCCACCTACCCAGACTTCCGCTATGACTCGACTGCACAACAAGAGACACATGAGCAATCCGCACCAGAGAGCGCATCAATCGATCGGGATGATGAGCTGCTGAGCTTCCAACCAATCACCTACCATTTCTCACTGCTCGATCACTCCCTCCGAAGGATATCCCTATCCCTCAATGCACGTTTACACGGCATGTTTTTCATGGCGGATCCCCCAAACGCCCCGGGTCTCTTTCCTCAGATGACTCCTCCAGAACTCACGTGCTACCGCCGCAACCTATTCCAAGTCACGGGATCTATCACTCTTCCTCGCGGTTTGCGCTACATCTTGACGGAACGCAACGAGCGCATACCAATAGTGGCACAGGAACTCACCATTTCGGCAACAGAGTCAGTCGAGGGCGGTACCGTGAAGCTGATCTCGGTCCCGTGGAAAACACCAATCAACAGTCCACCCGTCCCACCCGAGGAAAAGACAGAGAAGGAGCCCACAGTCATACCACTCGACCTCATGTCAACTCACGATCCGGACGTGGAGTTCGCAACATACCCCTTTGCGTGGAAGCGACTTCAATTCCGGATAGCCACAGCCAACAATGGGCGTCGGAAGGAACTCCAGCAACACTTCGTGGCTCGCTTGAAGCTCGTGGCCACCTTATCGTCAGGTGAAAGAGTCGTTATCGCCGAAGCAAGATCCGCAGCCATAATTGTCCGTGGTCGCAGTCCGAGAAATTTTCAGCAACGGAAGGACCTCCCTGTCGGCGAGAGAGCCACGGGCCGCAAGGCCACGAGCCTTCCCACCAACGTCGCTCGAAGGACTGGCTCAGACCCCCCAAAGCCTACTTCCACTCTGAAAAGAGAACGGAGCTTGGATAACCCTTTCGCGTTCTTCGATTTCAATAACATCCCCACCGCCGAATTGAATTCATATGGCGGTTGGACGAGACCAAGCGGCGGCTCCAATAGCGCACCAGCATTCCCTACACCTACCTTCAAAACGCCCACTCTTCCGAGCTCGAAATCGCCATCTTCAGCTTCCCCACCACTGAAGACTCACCGAATCTCCCACCCTCACCCCCGATGAACCGGACCCGAAGCGCGTCCGTCAGGGTCCCTCCAAGTCTCCACGCATGTCCACCTCCACGCAGCCCAGCCCTCAGCCGCCTTACAAATTCTCCTCCGTCCCACCGTCTCTACCATCGACCCGGCAGCTATCTTCCACACACTCGCCCCCCACCACTACACTACCTGAGACCGTCCACTCGGGCGACTGCTGCTGCAGTTACTTCCCAGCTGCCACGCAGTCTTGGCAACCACCTTTTACGACTGCCTCTATGAACCCGATGTACAGCACGCCTTATCTGCCGCACAACAATTCCATGACAGCAAGTGCTATGGGCATCGCAAGTGTGCCTGGTGGAGGAGCGAATATACTACCTAATGCGGTAACGAAATGAAGAAAAAAAAAGCGACGCGGCATTCTCGGCGTTTGAGCGAGAGCGGGAACGGGAGCAGGGGATCGAAATTGTACGATTATGTCCTTTGATATGCTTCTTTTCTTTTCTTTTCTTTACTTAGTACTTGTGATTTCATTGGCGGGATCATTATACCCTTTTTGGCGCTGGTCATGTCTACGCATTGCACAAATCATGTATTACTATCTGGACCACAGGACCACTTTAAAGATTTGGGGGTTAGATGGATGGGATCGGGCCTGGTACACATTCTCGAGGGGATCTGATATTCGCGTGACGAGTTTGCTTATACTTTACTTTACGGCGGCTTTTCTTTATCGGTCCGCAATGTGGCGGGGCGCTTTGAGCGATTTCCGGAGCGTGTGCACTGCAATGGCGAGGTGGTGTGTGAGTGCAGCCTTTTAGTATGCATCGAAGTGAATGGAATGGAAATGAGGTTGAAGACTATGAGTTGCGCACCTTTGAGTGACTTTTTGAACAATGTTGGTGGAGGTGTTGATAACAATATGTACAATTCGATCGGTCTTGGGGGCATTTCCAATTGTGAAAGGAAGTTGCCAATTTCCCATCTTTGCATTTTCTTTCCTTGAGATCGCGCACAGGCGCAGAGATTAATTTACACGGCGCACACATTCCACCCCACCGACCCATTTCCGGCCTCTCCGTCCCCCCCCTCTTTCTTCTTCTTACAATCTCGCCCTCGCACCCTTCCACCCCGCCTCCTCCGCCACCATCTCCGCGCACCGCTCCCCAATCGCCAGCACCGTCAGCATCGGGTTCACGCTCGTCATGGCGGGGAACACCCCCGCGTCCGCGACGCGCACCCCCCCGAGCCCGCGCAGCCGCAGCCCGCAGTCCACGACGGCCATGGCGTCGCGGGCCACGTCGCCCATCTTGGTCGTCCCGGCCGGGTGGTAGACGGTGTGGGCGGCCGAGCGGCCGTAGGCGCCGAGGTCGGCGTCGCTCTGGACGGCGGGGCCCGGGGCCACCTCGCGCGCCAGCCAGGCGGAGAAGGGGGGCTGGGCGGCGACGCGGCGGGCGGCGCGGAGGCCGGCGACCAGGGTGGCCGCGTCGTGGCCGGCCGGGTCGCTGAAGTAGCGGAAGTCGAGGGCGGGCTTGACGCTCGGGTCGGCGGAGGTCAGGTAGAGTTGGCCTTTGGATTCGGGGCGGGGGATGTTGGGCGTCATGCAGAAGGCGTCGATGGGGGTGTCGTAGCCGAGGCGGGCGGTGTTGAGGCAGAAGGGGATCTGGTAGCAGTGCATCATGATGTCCGCGACGCCGGGCGTGTGCCCGGGGCGGGAGAGGAAGATGCCGGCGTCGGAGTCCATGGTCGTTTGGTTCGGGGGCACGGGCCGGTTCAGTTCCCACATGATGATGCTTTCCGGGTGGTCGAGCAGGTTGTGCCCGACGCCGGGGATGGAGGCGACCACGGGGATGTTGAGGGCGGTGAGTTGGGCGGAGGGGCCGATGCCGGAGTGGAGGAGGAGGCGGGGGGTGTCGATTGCGCCGGCGCAGAGGATGGTTTCCTTGCGGGCGGTCAGGGTGAGGGTGGTGCCGGATTGCAGGGTTATGTTGACGCCTGTGACGGTGGAGGAGCGCACGTTGACGCGGCTGACCCAGGCGTCCGTTAGGATGGTGAGGTTGGGTCGGTGCTCGTCGCCGCGGAGGATGGGGTGGATGTAGGCGACGCTCGCGCTGCTCCTGCGGCCGTCGTCGGGGTTGTACGCCACGGAGAAGAAGCCGACGCCGGATTCTAGGTTTCCGTTCCGGGCAATCTCGCGGTTGAAGTCGTGGATTACGGGGATGGAGAGGGCGGTGGCGCAGGATTCGACCCAGTCCTTGCAGAGCTGGTTGCGGTGGCGGGAATGGACGGGTTGCACGGTGTTGCGGATGGAGTCGAGGAGGCGGTTGAAGGTGTCGAAGGACCAGCCTGTGCAGCCGAGAGATTCCCAGATAGCGGCGTCGTGGGCGAAGGGACGGAAGGATATAAGGGTGTTGTGGGAGGAGCAACCGCCGAGGACTTTTGCTCGGGAGTGGCGGATGTGCGAGTTACCTATATTTTGATCGATCAGTGATGCTGTCAATGCTGTTTGTGTTTACTCCAGATTCCACCTTGAATATATCACAATTCAAATGGTTCTTGTTCTTGGATGCACCACGGTAGACGGAATACTTGTACGCATCACCAAAAACACATATCCTCAAGAGCCAAGCTCGCTTACCATTTGGCTGCTCCGTAGTCCCATAGTCATAGTCCAGCTCGCCACCCAGGAGGTTCAGCCAATCTTTCAGATTTAGAACCTTGTCGTTCATGAAATCGCTCGGACCAGCTTCAATCAGTAGTATTCTCTTCTTCGGTAAATACTCTGCCAATCGGCTAGCGATGACACACCCCGCTGTACCACCGCCTACTATCAGGTAGTCGAAGCTATCGGCCTCTGAGGCGGAGAGCTTGGTGGTGGTCATGATGATGAGGAATTCAAGGCTCGGAAAAGAGTGGAAAACCCAAAGAGATTGTGGTTGCTTTTCTAACCCAACAGGCTCCACGCAGCCTTTTTGTATATCCAAGGAGAGAATCAGTAGACTAGCAAAGAGATAATACAATAAATGTCGCTGTGAGATCTCGCACGTGACAGTGTGTGCTCAGAGAGATAAGAGCAGCTCAAGACAAGAGCATATTACCTTCCATTTGTGTACTTGAAAGGAGACAAAGGATTGTAAGTATGAGATGGATCTAGAGTAAGCAAGGTCAGCAAAGTCGCACAAATGTTTGGATGCCCTAGGGAGACATTATTATTATTGAGTGGGCAGATTTGCTGATACTTGACTAGTCCGAAAGGAGACAAAATATGCGGAGAAAAACTGGTGTTAGCACATGGCAAGCTTGAAGAGAAGAGGTATGTTTCTCATCGAGGGACCAGCCTTGTAGAACCTCCGTGGTTGAAGGTACGTGCATGACATGCTGGGCAAGGACTCAAGGTTCTCCCACCCTCCCTCGTGATTTCGCCATCAATCTCAATCAATGGCGGACTCGTTCTACCCGCCGCGCCATCTCTACTATGACGGCCAGGTCCAGGTAGGTTCTGGAGGTATTTTCAGATCCATCGATCCATCGACCGCACAGCCACTGGCAGATATCCATGCTGCCTCCCACTCCGACATTGACTCAGCCATTCAATCAGGTCAACGAGCTTTTCATGGTTGGTCAACAACGCCCCCAATTGTTCGATCTCGCATCCTCCTGAAGGCAGTCCAGCTTCTACGAGATAGAAACGATGAGATTGCGAGGACAGAGACACAAGACACAGGGAAGCCGTTCTCCGAGACAAGCACAGTTGATGTGGTGACGGGAGCGGATGTGCTCGAGTTCTTCGCCAACCTAGTGGGAGGAGGTGGGCTTAATGGGGAGACGACGCAGTTGAGGGAAGACGCATGGGTCTATACGAAGAAAGAGGCTCTGGGTGTATGCGCGGGCATAGGAGCATGGAATTACCCCATACAAATGTACGCCGCCTCTCTCAGAAGACATGGATACCGAGCTGAGGTCGAGAGTGTCTAGAGCGCTCTGGAAGTCAGCACCTTGTCTTGCCGCGGGCAACACTATGGTCTACAAGCCCAGCGAAGTCACGCCGCTACACGGTCAAATATTGGCCGAGATCTACACGGAAGCAGGAGTACCACCTGGGGTCTTCAACGTTGTTCAAGGCGGTGGGGACGTCGGCGCGTATCTTACGTCGCATGTTGGAATCGCCAAGGTGTCTTTCACTGGACAAGTCTCAACAGGCAAAAAGGTTGCTAGCAGCGCAGCAGCAGGAATGAAATACACGACCATGGAGCTTGGTGGGAAGAGCCCAGTCATCATATTATCAGACGTGGATCTAGAACAAGCCGTGAATGGAGCTATGATGGCCAATTTCTTCAGCACTGGCCAGGTCTGCACGAATGGCACAAGGGTATTTATTCCCAAAGACATGAAGCAAGCCTTTGAGGAGATGCTACTGGAAAAGATGAAATACATCCGAGCTGGCAATCTCATGGACGTGAACACTAACTTTGGCCCTCTGGTGTCCGAGATGCATTACGACAAAGTCATTGGGTACATTAAGTACGGACTCGAAAAGGATAGAGCGACCTTGCTCTGTGGAGGCCCTGACCAACCGAAAGACATCCCCTGGATTGGAAGGTGGCTATTGGGTTAGACCGACAGTGTTCACCGACTGCACAGATTCGATGAGGATCGTGCAGGAGGAGAATATTCGGGCCCGTGATGACCCTGTTGACGTACGAGTCCGGGGAAGAAGCCGTTGAAAGAGCGAATGCTACACCTCTCGGTCTTGCCGCAGGCGTCTTTACGAAGGACCTCAACATGGCGCATAAGGTCGTGCTAAGCTTGAGGCTGGCATCACTTGGGTCAACACCCGGGGCGAAAGTCCTGCCGAGATGAGCGTGGGTGGGGTGGAAGCAAAGTGGTGTTGGGGTTGAGAACGGAAAAGGGGCCTAGAGGCTTGGGAGAGAGTAAGAGCCCTATGTTTGAGTGGCAAGGCCATGTTTTCTTTCCAGGTTATAGAGGTTGATCCCCGCCCATGGTCAACCTGTGGTCGTGGGAGCTGATTGTATACAAATCCAGTAGGGCTTGCCCTACAGCATTTCTACTATTCGACGGTATGGGCGAGCCGTTGAGAT